ATTGACAAAACCCATGATTTAATGAAGTGCTTCACTGTTGTCGAAGAGCATCCACATCCTTAGTTCCTTCTCCCAACAACCACAATTTCCCTTTACTGAACTCTATGCCAGACATTGTTCTAATTGCTTTGTACATTATCTCATTTAATTCTTATACTGATAACAAACAATTCTGAGTTTGGTACTCTTACACTCATTTTAGAAATGAAGAGAGGCGCCTGGGGGGGCACTGTCGGTTGAGCATCCCACTCTTGGTTTCGGCTCAGGTCCTGATCTCAGGGTTGTGGGATTGAGCCCCTCATCAGGCTCCACACTCAGTGCAGAGTCTGTTTGGGATTCTGTCTCTCCCTGTGCCCCTCCTGCTCGTGCTTTCTCTCTTTCTCTCTAAAATAAATAAATAAATCTTGAAAAGAAAGGAAGGAAGTGAGAGAGGGAAGGAGGGAGGGAGGGAAGTAAAAGATTCTCCAGGAAGAATGTGTCCCAGTCACACATGTACTAAGAGGCAGTTTCAGATCCTTGTTTCCAATTCCAAACTCCATGCTGTGTCCCATCACACCACATAGTATCTGCTCTCAGGGGACTCATGCCAGGCTCTGGTGAGCCCTGGTGTTCTGGACTTGCTGAGGGCTCCCTGCCCCACACCCAGCAGAGCTAGCCATCTTGGCTACTTGCTCCATTCCTTAAACCCTGCCTGCTCCTCTCTAGATCTGTTTAGAATTGGACTTGGAAGATGCCCACCCACAGTGCCCATAGTTATCCGCAGTGCCTCTCCCTTCCCTGGGCATCTAGGACACTCAGCAGGGGTGCTGTTCCTTTTCATTCCTCCAGCACACTGGAGTGCTTAAACAAGGCAACAATAAAACTCAGACGGAGTTTCAGAAAGAGAGGGACAGGATGCGTCTTTTCCACCTTTGAGGTTAAAGTTGTGGGGGGAAAGAGCCCAAACCATTCCCTTCTTGCTCTGGGTTGTCCTGGCACTGGCCAGGGTGGCCATTTGAGGAGGGGGGACTGTTACTGCCCACTTGCCATGCCATGCCATGCTCTGGTGGGCAAGGGCAAATCTGAGCTGGTAGCATTTCCCTGGGGCCCTGGCCCCTTATCCTTTGTCATGTCCATTTTGAAAAGGGATGTATGCTTTAATAGTTCTCTTACCTGGCAGCACAGTGGAATCATCAGGGTGTTGGGGGGTGAGGGGTGGGGGTTGGTTTAAAACTAATGAAGCCCAGACCCCACCATCAAAGAGGGATTCCCTCGGCCCCGGCGGGGGAAGGGGGGGCTGTGCATTGGTCTAATTTTCAGGGCTCCCCAAGTGAATCTCAGGGACAGTCAGGGAGAGAAACTCTGGGGCACCTCTTTCTGCCTTGCCCTCAGCCCTTGTTGCTGCCCGTACTGCCTGAGAACCTGTGATAGTCTCCCTGATGTGAGCTCCGTCTCCCAGGGCAGGGAGAGAGCCCCGTTTGTCTTCGTGTCCCTTTGTCCAGCCCAATGCCTGGCACCGAAGCCTCAATCAGTGTGTGTTGGGTTGTTAATGAAAGCTGAAGCAGAAAACATCATGGCCGCCCCCTCCCTTTCTCTTTCTTTCAAAGCATGGAATGGGGCATGTTCTCAAAAACAGGGTCCTTGATTTTATATTTCCAGTGTGGGGTGAGGAGTAGGGTCCTGAACCCCTGCAGGAATTCAAGGTCACTGGTGAGTGTCTGTGGCTGGAAACAGAGCAGGGGACATGGGCAGGGTCCTTTACGGAGTAGCTATGAAACTGCATTCTCTCATATTTTATCTCTCTGTCTCTGTCTCTCATGCATAGTTAGAATTATGAATGGAGGTGGTAAATCTCTAAACACGGGTGGGGTTGGGCTGACGTGCAAGGGCTGAGGGGACAAATTTTGTCTCTGGGTTTTTACCTGATGTATGCGTGGCTCCCTCCCTCATCCCACAGGGGAAGCTTGTTGAAACCTGCAAAGATAAGGAAGACCCTTCCCTCAATCCCCAGTCTCTCTCTTTACAGACACCCCACTGGGTGTTCTTCTCCTCAGTGAAGTGAGGAAATGGAAAAGAGAGTAGGAGTCTCAGCCTGCTCCCCACACTGAGAACCCCTCCCAGAGAGGAGAGAATGGAGTGTGGGTGTGTGGGTAGGAGTCTGGGTACAAACTCCCTTTCATCTCCAGCTGAAATGCTGCGCCTTCATTTCCTGCCAGCCCTGCCACGGGCCCACGGGCTCACATCTTCTGCGGCCTCATTGAAGACTGGGTGGCATTGATGCAGCGGGCCACGCTTGGGAAGCTCAGGTTTCTCTGCCCCACAGCCTGAGCCACATCAAAGGCCCACCTGCAGTCCTGCAGGCAGCCCCCTCCCACAGCCCTGGGCTGCTGCAGGCCCACCCTCTCCAGCCGGAGGCCCCGCCTCCTGCCCCAGCCCCTGAACCCAGGGCCCAGGGGAGAGCCCTGTCCAACAGGTCCACATCCTACCCGCTACTCGGATGGCCATGCCTCTCTCCTCCCATCTCCAAACAGACCCAGTTTGCCTCTTCTCCACAGACGTGCACCTGCCTTGGCTGCTTCCTGGATTGCCTCCGCTTTGTGTCTCATCTGTCAGGTTTTCAAATGTGTGGTCTCTGCCTGAGACCTCCGTCCCTCCCTTCCCCCGTTCCCACCTTAGCCTCTCACGCTCCGGTGGCCACTGTCCCTTTCCCTGAGCGACTTTCTCGGAGGGCTTCCAGTGACTCAGCCCGGTGGCCATTTCTCAGCGCTCGGCCCCCTGGGATCCCCCACCTTGAACACTCTCCACAACCTCTTCTCAAAACCCCGTCCTGTGCACCCCGATGTTTATAGCAGCAATGTCCACAATAGCCAAACTATGGAAAGAGCCAAGGTGTCCATCGACAGATGAATGGATAAAGAAGATGTGGTGTATATATATATATATATATATATATATATATATATATATATATACAATGGAATATTATGCAGCCATCAAAAGGAATGAGATCTTGCCATTTGCAACGACGTGGATGGAACTGGAGGGTGTTATGCTGACTGAAATAAGTCAATCAGAGAAAGACATGTGTCATATGATCTCACTGATATGAGGAATTCTTAATCTCAGGAAACAAACTGAGGATTGCTGGAGTGGTGGTGGGTGGGAGGGATGGGGTGTCTGGGTGACAGACATTGGGGAGGGTATGTGCTATGATGAGTGCTGTGAATTGTGTAAGACTGGTGAATCACAGACCTGTACCTCTGAAACAAATAATACATTGTATGTTAAAAAAAAAAAAAAAAAGAAGATAGTAGGAAGGGAAAAATGAAGGGGGGTAAATCGGTGGGGGAGACGAACCATAAGAGACTATGGACTCTGAGAAACAAACTGAGGGTTCTAGAGGGGAGGGGGGTGGGGGGATGGGTTAGCCTGGTGATGGGTATTAAGGAGGGTACGTACTGAATGGAGCACTGGGTGTTACACGCAAACAATGAATCATGGAACACTACATCAAAAACTAATGATATAATGATGTAATGAATGGTGATTAACATAACAATAAAATTAAAAAAAAAAAAAAAAAAAACGTCCTTCCCGGGGCTTCTTTCTGGCCGGCCTGCACACCTTGCCCTCCTGCTCTGCTCCCCAACAGCTTGGGACCAGCCCACCTGATGCAAGTGGCCCCTTCTCCTGGGCCCTGAGTGGTGGGATGCCTCAAAGAATCCTTTCACAAATACCTGCTGTGCACCCCCCACCTGCACATGGCCCTTCGGGTGCTTGCGAGTGGGAAGCACTGATGAGAAGCCCTGCCCCACGTAGTTTCTCTTCTAAGCAGGAGACACAGAGAAAAAACCACAGTGAATCACGTAGTGTGTGAGAAGATGGTAACCATGTGATAGGATGTGGCGTGAACAACAGTTTGAACAGTCTCAAATAGACCGATACATGCATCCCCATGTATCCCTTACTTTGCTCCAACAGTTGACAATACTTTGTCCATCTTGTTTCATCTATTCCACACCCCCCCCCCGCACCCCGCGCCAAACTTTTATTTATCCTGGCATATTTTATTTATTTATTTATTTATTTATTTATTTTTTAAAGATTTTTTATTTATTTATTTGAGACAGAGAGAATGAGAGAGAGAGAGCACATGAGAGGGGGGAGGGTCAGAGGGAGAAGCAGACTCCCCGCCGAGCAGGGAGCCCGATGCGGGACTCGATCCCGGGACTCCAGGATCATGACCTGAGCCGAAGGCAGTCGCTTAACCAACTGAGCCACCCAGGCGCCCTATCCTGGCATATTTTAAAATAAATCCTGGGTTTCATGAAATCTTATCATGGAGACTTCAGTGTATAGCTCAACTGGTTAAGATGTATTTACGTTGTACACAAACACTGTACCATTGTCACGCCCAACAAAATCAGCAGTGATTCTTCTGGAACTGTTTAACTCTGCCACGTCTGACAGTCTTGCCTTGCTAGGTGTTGGAAGCCCCTTGAAGACAAGGCAAAAGGCTCATTGCATGTCCTAGCAACCTCAGACTGTTGCCTAACAGGTCCACCCAAAGGTTATTTAATGCTCTAGGGGGAGGTACTTTTGCTTGACTTTCAATGTATTATTGATTGGGGGCCAGACTTTATGAAGTTAAATGTTAACATATAGGTTTTGATAAGATAACACAAATCTTTACCCAGCAGAGATGCAAATGATTTCTGTTCAGTGGAAGAGATAACCCCAAAGTTATGGGGTTTTTTTTTGCCCTGTGGGTCATTAACCAGTTGTGTCTCAGCTTCACAAACTCATTTCTGCGTGCCTTCCCTGACTGATTATACAAACCCCCGTTTTCAAGTTCTCTTTGGAGCTAGCCTTACCATCCCTCATTAATGAGTTAAATTATAAATTACATTTATATGAGAGCATTTGAAAAACTATCCTTTGACAGTGGCTTATCCATTTTCTGCCTCTTTCCTTCATTTAGTCTGCTGCTTGGCGTGGACTAGATGTTTGTGGAACTGGATTTATACTTGACTCAGTCTCCTATTAAAAGGGAAGAATCGAGGTTTCAAGTTGAGAAGTGCTCAACAGATGTCAGGGAGCTGGGAGGTGAGGGTGGAGGTGGCTGCCGTGGGTCCTGTGCTCTACCTATCCTGGAGAGAGAGAGAAGGGTCAGGTGCTGTGGATGTGCAGCTCTCCAGAGCGCCCTTGTCCGCCCTCTGCTCATGGGAGCAAGGCCCTGTCCAGCTCTAACACGGAGTGGGGAGGAAGGAAGGGGGCAAGAACAAGATGCATGTATGTGCATGCGTGTGTTTACGTGTGGGTGTGGCAGGGATGTGCCCAAGACGGTGTGCTGGTTTGCCAGTTTGCCCCCACGCTCAGAGGGCGAGGGTCACGTTGTGGCAGTATTCTTCTATGTCCCCAAATTACTACCTTCTGATTCCTCATGCTTTTCTGAGTTGGGAGGGGGTTCTCCTTTACAGTGTATCCCACTTATGCTATTATGACTTAGGCCTGGGAATGCAAAGGAGGCAGGAATATTGACAATGAAGTGGAGATTGTAGTAGGAGGGGTTGTATGTGGTGAAAAGCAGCTGCGCTTTTCATCTCCTAAGGGGTCGTGTTTCTTTTCGGAGAATGGGGGTGGTGGTGGTGGGGTAGGTGCGGGGAGCAGAGCTGATGGGGGTGGGGGGTAGGAATTGCCTGTGGGTTCCCAGGACTGGAACCGCTCTGTGTGTAGAAATAATTCCTCCCTTTACTTAAGTTACCCAATTGTCATCCTGGCTCCCTCAGCCTCTGGAGTGCCTGTTCCTCCAGAAAAACCAAAGCAACATGGAGTTAGGGGAAAGCTGTGCCCTCCAGGGCCCCACCCCAAGTTTCCAAGTCCCCCAGTGTTCCGTGTGGCACCAGCCAAGGCAAGCAAGCACCTTGGAAGGTTGGTAACAAAAAGGGGTTTTCCATTTAGCTTCAAGGTTGGATGTGTTCGCTATTTTATTTAAATTGGCATGGAAAAGCTTTAAAACATCTTTTTCTATTTCTATTTGGAGCTAGAGTAGCTTTTAAAAGCTACCTATCTAATCAGTGGTGGGGGAGCACCATTTGGGGGACATTGTTGGTCCTGGAGCCTGGAGGGTGATAGGAAAGAGGGGACATTTCTTCTCTCCCCGACTTTCTTCATTTTCACTGTCCTGGCTTGGCAGGCACTCCCATCCTGCTTTATTGCCCTCTCCTCATTCAGTTCATGTACCACCCCCAGCCATTCCTCAGGAGACATTTGCCAACTCCAGACACTGGAGACACAAAGATGAATGAGACACTTTTCCCAGCTGGAGATGCTCTGAGCCCAGTGGACAGTGATCCTTCATGAGTGAACAGTGCTTTCTGGTTGACGGAGCACATTCACATTTGTTGTGGGTTTCAAGCCTCATGAGAATTGGGGAGATGAGCCAAGACAAGCATTACCCATCCCAGAAGAGGAAACTGAGGTTCAGAGAGGTTGCAGGCCATCTCCAAGGCCACACACATGGTGCTAAGTGGGCCCGGAACTGGAAGAGCCTTCGGGTAATGGCCAACCCCATAATCTCTGGCTGCACAGAGGCTGGTAACTAAAGGTCACAGGAGTTGGAGAGGTGGGGGCAGAGTGTCAGAGAAGCTGAGGGCTGGCCTGCAGGACATGGTGACTTCTGTTTGCAGTCACTTCTGTCTGGCCTGGGACCCATGTCTCCCTAGCTGGAGAGTTTGAGGTCAGGACATCATGCTCTCCCTTTTCTGGAGAAAGGTAAAAAGTACATATCTTCCCTTCAGGCTAACCACCCTTTGGTCCCTGGAAGTCATGTTCTGGTGACCATGGAGTCCTGAGTCCCAGTTCCACCGCCACACTCAGCCAGTTGCAATGAGAGGGACTTGGCCTGGATATAACATGAAGAAGGTCTTGAAGAGTGAGATAGGATGGAGGTGGGGGGTGGTCAATTACAAAGGGAACCTGTGAGTAGAAACTGGTGGTGGTGCCATTTGTGGTGACAAAGAATGTCCTTCCTGGCTGGGGAGGGTAGGGGGCTGTCAAGCTGGGGGGGTGGGGCCTGGCAGGGAAGACTGTGGGCAGGAAGAGATGGAGGAGGGGAGCAGCTGGGTCTAGGAGGTGGACTGGCTGTGATTCTTGAGCAAGAGACTTACCTGATGGTGGTGTGTGTCAGGTACTGTTCCGACATTCCTGTTGGGGTGGGGCAGAGCGGTGCCTGTTCCCAGAGGGCTAAGTGTCCACAACCTCTGCTCTCTCTGATATTTCATGCTGGCCTTCCTGTTATAAGAACGTACAAAAGAGGCTAACTCTTAGAGTCCATGAGGCCTGGCTCTCTCATTCGTAGGGCTTTTCCCCTTTGCAGAACATTCTGGGTTCTCAGAGAGGTAGCATGAGGTTTCGTCTGGCTGGTCATCAGTTTTTTCTAGGGGAACTTTAAGGAAAGAAGGGTGTGGGCCACACCTGTGAGACTCTGATATGATAAATTTAGGTGGGGCTGGCAGTCTGACTATTTGTTCTAGAAGAGCAACACCATCATAAAAATACCTATTTGTTTGGCGTTGGTAATCAGCTACCTCGTCAGGAGATGAGGGGCAATCAATTTCCATCAGCGAGAAGGAGTCTGGGAGGAGGCCAGCCGTGACATCTTGCTGCCTGCCGGGGATCCTCTTTACAGTCTGCACACTAAAGCCCAGCTCTCCAGGGAAGCTGGGCTGGGTCATTCCAAATTTCAAAGTTTTCTAACTCGTTTAAGATTTGTCCACTTAAGCAACAGCACTTAAAAAAATTGTCAGCCGCTGTGTTTGCAATTCTCTGTAAAATGTATTACATGCGCCCCTGCCTTTTTAAACAGTCACACAAGCATAAATGTAACCTTTTCTTGATGTCCCACGGGTATGTTAGGAACCTTAATTACTGTATGGGGCTGTAATTCAGTGGGGCTTGGGGGACTCTTGGCTTATACCAAATGGCTCCCTGAGGTTTTGCATTTTTGTGTCTGCTTTTTAGTTTTTCCAGCTATGCTTCTTGGTGACTGATGTCCCTTCTTGCTAGACACAATGTACCTGCCTAAAGCAAATGTCCCTTCACTTCCAATTTGCGTTTATGATATGGGTTTGGGAAATGGATAAACTATAGTCCTTGTAATTGGGTAGGAAATCTTGTGGTTAACTTCCCGTTATTCATTCCACACCCTCTCCCCGAGTAGCAGCAATGACATTTGGGATTGACCTCAGCCTAAGGAGGTGGCCTGCTTGGTTTAAGGGGACACTCTTTTCCTTCATTAGTGGTTGGGTCATAAATGGACACATGACAGAATTTTGACTAATGGGATTTGAAGAGAGGTTCTCTGCTGATTTCTGAGAAAGTTCTTCCTCACTAGCAATAGAGGGCCACAGGAATTCATTCTCCAAGTAGATAGAAATGAAGAGACACACAGCCCTGATTGCTTTTGGCAGCCAAATTGTAACTTTCAGAACTTTCTTTGGGAAAAAAAAAAACCTACTGGGGATGGCAGAGTGGGATGTGGAATGACAGAGGTTGGCATAGTGGAGAAATTGGAAAGAACCGTGAGCTGGGTGGGGTTTTTTTTGGAATGCCTACACCTCCTGTCATGTGAATTATTATATTTGCTTTGGTTTCAGCCCCTTCGAATTGAGTAGGGTTTTGGGTTACTTATAACAAAAAGCATACCGATGGATAAATATCAAATGTACGAAATAAAAGCGAGTGGGCTCTGGGTGAAGCCTGGAGATCTGCAGGACGCCCTCTCCTTCCTGTGGGCACTTATGTGAGCCTGTGGCTCTTTACCTAGCAAGTTTATTACGATGTTAAAGACATACCACAAACTCTTAACACTAGTAATTTTTTCCTAGTGCTTTCCAGCTTACAAAACACCACCTCAGCCTTATCTCAGGAAAAAGGTAGGGCCTGGATCATCCACCTTTTACAGATAAGAAAACCAAAGGTCAGTGGATTTACATGAAGCTTAATTTTATAATTAGTTCTTAACAAATTTAATTTTGTTTTGTTTTGTTTTTTAAGATTTTATTTATTTATTTGAGACAGAGAGAATGAGAGACAGAGAGCATGAGAGGGGGGAGGGTCAGAGGGAGAAGCAGGCTCCCCGCCGAGCAGGGAGCCCGATGCGGGACTCGATCCCGGGACTCCAGGATCATGACCTGAGCCGAAGGCAGTCGCTTAACCAACTGAGCCACCCAGGTGCCCCTTAACAAATTTAATTTTGAAGTGGCATCCAAAGCACTTTCTCTGAGAACAAATAATAACCCTGGGCTTAAAAAGGAGCCTCTCTCACAAGACGTCTAAATGGGTGCTCCTCTGGTCGCTAAGAGACATAAATCACGTAATGATCAGCCACTGCAGGTCAGGTCTTCAGGATGGCACTGTCCCTACCTCCCACTGCCACCCGAAGAATTGCAATTTGCCATCAGCTTAAAGCTCTTCAAGATTCACAGCTTGAGCTTCTCACCTAGCTAATTGGTGCCTACTCTTCAAATTGGGTTGCTCTCCCCAGTGGAAGAAAAGCCAGAGTTTGCCTCCGTTTGCTCTCGGAAGTTTTGCAGCTAAAAATGCAATAGTGAAACTTGATTTCCTGCTCGGGACACACGTCACGATGGTGGTCCACGCAATGGCATTTGGGAGCTCTGAAGTGGGCCTGCTGCTGAGGGAATGCATTCCCCCGTGTATATCAAAGCTGTGAAGGGCTCCTTCCGTACACAGTGCACAAGGTTCATTGAAGGGTTGAAAGTGATCTCTACCACATCCCTCCTTTGATGCCTGTCTGCCTGAACCCAGCCCAGAGCCCCCAAAATGATGCTCTCGTACGGCCTCTTCCCTTCTCCCTTCCCATCGCCGCATGGACCTAACCTGTTTTTGTTTTCCTGCACTTGAACTTCTGCCGGGGCCTCTCTGACGATGCTTGCCATGCTGGGTGCACAGCCTGTTCTGATTCCCATCCGTTTGGTTATGGCGAGCTGATCTCTGCTGCATTTCCAAACATCAATAGAAACTATTGTGTAGAACACTTATTTTGACATTATTTCAAAAATGACATTGTGTGTATGCCTTGTTTCCTGCAGGGCGAGGATTATGTTTTACGTTGCACTTGTATGATGCACAGCATCTAGCATCCTTATCCTATAGCATTTTAGAGTTTTCAAAGGAATGCGTTACCCAATAAATACCTGAGGAATGTCATCCCCTCTTAGTGTTCTACTTTATGGATTATCTGTGCTTCCTCCCTCTGCCTCTGAGTACCTTGCCTGGCCACTCACTGTGAGACTAAATTCGGGACTCACGAAGCTTGGGCTTTTAAGGGGATGAGGGGGTGTGAACATAGTTTATAATGTCTGAGTGCATTCCTCAGGACTTTACAAATACATTCTGGGTGTCTGGTCCCCAGGAGTCCTGAAGGGGAGAGCAGTGGGAAAAGCAGAGATGCACACCATGGGGTTAGTGTATTGAATACTAGGAGAGAAAGGTTTGAAGGTCCCCTGCTCTGCTCTGATGTCACATCTGATGATGAGATGGAGGGGTTCCCTAACAACAGGGACACAGGGGACACAGGGCTATCCTAGCCCATTTGGGGCTGCTACAGCTCTTTGTGAATTTTCTGCTGCCACCAGCCATGCTTTAAAAAATGGCGGGGGTGGGGGATGGCTGAGGGGGCTAGGGGGCCTTGGTGGCTCGGTCAGTTAAGTGTCCAACTCTTGATTTTTGGCTCAGGTCACGACCTCAGGGTCCTCAGATTGAGCCCTGCGTCAGACTCCACACTCAGCAGGGAGATCAAGCCCTGCCTTATGTCAAGCCCCCGGTGGAGCCCCATGGGGCTCTGCACTTAGCGAGGAGTCTGCTGGAGTTCCTCTCCCTCTCCCTCTGCCCCTCCCCACCCCCTCCAATAAATAAATAAATCTTAAAAAAAATGGTGGTGGGGGGATAGCTTCTTCTCTAAAGTCAGTGGCTTGGGTTCTCAGACTTGTCTCTCTTTTTCTCCATGATACTCCTCCTGCTACCCTGGCCTCTGTGGGAAAGGTCACCCTCTGAGATTCTGAGGGCTGTGGCCAGTCTGGGCCACGGTGTGAAAGAATGAGATGCTGGGGTCCATGGAAGACAACTGAGGGAATCCCACATTCAGACTCACCTGGGGTTTCCCTCTCAAGCCTCCGTGTCTGGCTTTATGGCTTCTTCTCCGTGTCTGGCTTTATGGCTTCTTCTCCGTGTCTGGCTTTATGGCTTCTTCTCCCTCTCTCCCTTTTCATGCAGCATCACCCTTGCCTACCCCTCCTGCAGCAGCCCAGCACCCTGAGCACTGAGGGGGCTCTTGGAGACACACGCCACCCTGCTCCTCCCAGGCACCCCTCCCCAGTTTCGGCCAGCTCCTTTGGCACTGCAGTCCCCCCCCACAGAGGGAGCCAAGCCTCTGGGAGTCAGGGCATCTCCCCACGGCATCCTTCATTTCCCACTTCAGGTGGTGCTCCTGGGTTGGACCCACCCACCCCCCAGCTGTCTGGATGTGTGGGGCTGTTTTTGTCGTCAGGGCGACTTAGGAACTCTCTTGTCGTTTGGTGGCAGAAGCCGGGGATGCAAAGTCTCTGCAGGGCGCAGGGAAGGCATATCCCTCCCAACATGCTGTAGGCTCCTCCACTGAGAAACACTGTGCCAGCCAGGATGAGTGATGAGCTTCTGATCTTCAGCTGCACCAGCTGGTGCAGCGGAACCGGAGGTCTGAGTCCCTGCTCTGCCACTTCCTGGCCCCGTGGCTGGTTTTCTAGCCTGCTTCCTCATCAGAGCGTGCAGTAACAACCGTGCCCCCACTTCACAGGGTTTAAGTAGAATTCGATGTGTTAATACACATGAAGACTTAGGACAGCCCACGCATTATGAGTGTCAGAGAGGCCTTTGCTCTTCCTGCCTGGGCCTCCAGGACCACCCCTTGGCCTCAGGTCGAACTGTGGTCCTGGCGGACACTTGCCTCATAAACAGCTGGGCCCCTGGCCACCAGGACTGAGAACCTTGGCTCCAGGTATGGGCACTTGCCCAGGGTCCTGGACCTGAGCCACCCCAGGAACCTGCGCTTCCTTGACTCTGTTCCCTGTCCAGCTCCTCTCTCCTGCCCTCACTCCGTTGGACCATTCTGGAGGGCCGTTCCTCTGATCCTCTCATTAGAAGTCTCCTACTGTATTTCTCTTTTTCTGTCTCTATAGTTGTTGTATATGTTTGTTTTTTATATGTTGTATACTGTTTCTTTTTTAGAACCTCTA